AAATGTTTTTTTTTGTTAAGTAAAAGAACCAAATTCAGCCAAATAAACAAATTACATATTAAATCGAATCCAGTTGAACTAAATTGAACCGGATGATTTATTTTTTAAATCAAACTTGGACCCAATTCGAGATTAAACAGAAACATTATTATATTTTTATTTTGATACCATCTTTCCCAAATGGAATAAAGCGAAACCGTAATTTATTAGTCTAATCATTCTTCAAAGTCGTTTAGTAAACTTAATTCGATCTTTATTTTGATAGCATGTTTAATTTGTTCAGTTGTTCTTTCCTTCCTATTTAAGTAAGAGGAGTAATCTTTACGGAGTATACTTCTTTTGCAAACAAGGAGAAGTGATGAGTGATCTATACAGGTAGAATTATATTTTGCGGTCAAGAAATGAGAAAAATTCTTAAATAAGACTAAAAACACATATAATATGCACAAATAGGATCAATATTAGTTTCTTCATAAAATAAGAGTGAATATTGTTAGGGGTATAACGGTAATAGAAAAAGTGTATATGTCTCTTGATGCACAAAGTTATTGTACACCATGTATAATTTCTTGTACTTTTAATTTTATTAAAGATTCCATTTTAACTGCACGTCATTATTCATACTTATTGTAGCTTTCAAAGTACGTGTGACCGTTTTCCTCTTTCATTACTTCTCATTTCAACTTCTTTAGAACTGCGTTATATATTCTTTAGTATTCATTTCATTTATTTCCTTGTCATCATTGCCCTTTCACATCATTTTCTTTGCCCCAACTACTCAGCTTTAATTTGTTAGGCTCTCCTGTAATGGTGGATAGGCGTCGATTTATGCACTCAATGACTATATGCCTACCGGTTATAACCAATTTGCTTCAAATGCTGAAACAAATTTTCACTTCTTTTGGTCGCACTCATGTGAGATTTTTTCTCTATTTGAATGATTTACATGTCTACTTAATTTTTGAATTAATATCTTCAATACGCTTAGTTCAATGTGATTGTTTAATTACATATACTCATTATTTCATATGATGGTATTATTTTTTCATGCTAGAATGTTTTTGGGTTCCATCTCATTGTATATTGAATTCTGCCACCTGCCGATTCTTTTGCTAGGTCGCGTTTGTTTCCAAAATTGTTCGTGAGGTTGGTTTGATAGCTTAAACTTGATTATGAGTTATTTCAATTTTGTAGTTTTTCCCTTTGGTTTGTTTCCACCTGCCACCATGCTACAGGTTGGTTTGTTTCCGAAAAAACAATGAATAAAAACTATGTAATTTGTTGCTCTACAAACTTTACAACAACTATGATTTAATTTAGTTTATAAAAACATCTAACTTATACAATCCGAAATCATGTGAGTTAAAAAACAGTTGTTTCTTAGTCTTTAAGAGCCCATCTTGAAAATTAAAATAAAATCTTAATTGTTTGGTATGAACTTCATATTGTGTAAACATTTGTTCTTAGTTTAGTAAAGTTGAAGGAAAAAATAGAGGCAAGGATCCATTTTTAGTTAGTTGTGCAACACAAACCAATAAAAATCAAAACTTTTTTGTATCCCAAACATACCCTGCACTATCTACTATCGTTAGTTTAAACACAACACTATGACAACACCACACATAAAAAAGGGTGTGGGTTTCATATTTAACCTATTGTTTATCAAATTTTACCACCTATAGTTAAATTTTACACATATAAAAGGGTGTGTTTATTAAATTTTACCACCTTTTACGGGATTGGCACGGAATTTGGCACAGATTTACCGATTTTACGCGTCAAATAGCTCGTGCCAAAGTGTTTTTGGCACAGATTTGACATATCCCTGCCAAAATCCCTGCCAAATCCTTGCCAAAATCCCTGGCAATCCCATGTTTTTTTTTGTAGTGTTAAACCTTTTGAATTTGCCTTAGCTTGTCAAAAGGGTGTGGGTATCATATATAACCTATTGTTTAAATCTTTTATTAAATTTTACCACCTTTTAGCTTTTCTTGATCAACAATGTGTGGAAATAAAAGGGGCAAGCATAACTGCATAAGTGACCCAGTAAATGAGAAGTACTCCTTTTCTAGAAGCGGGTAAATAAAGGATTGTGTTATTTTTATTTGTTATTGTACATAGTCTCAGTTAAAGCAGAGCCCTTGTCACATTTGTTGAGATTATGTGTTGGGATTGGAAAATTCTTCTGTTCAATATCAGGAACAGAATTATAATAGGAGAAACAAACTCTCACACTCAACGATTACAAAAAATCAATCCTCGCCAATACACTTCTACTCTAAGTGTATTTCACTCTTCACACACTTTTCTCACTTTCTAAACTGATGATAATGAGCAACAATAGACTCCCTATTTATAGGTGTATATGGGTTGCATGAAAAAGTTGCATCCATGCTTCCTAGTTATCTCCATATCTTTTTACCGTGTTCATTTGTTGGATAGCTCCTTCCTAGAAGGTGTTATATGTCTCTGGGTAACTTCGAAGAAAGAGGGTGGAAGATCTTAGTATCTTACATTATGGTGGAATCCTCTCGAGATCTTCTCAATGAGGGGTCCGGGGGTGGATGTTTGGGGCCAACCTATGCTCCGTCTCACCTCAAATTCTATTTTTTAATTATTAGTATAAAACATTTCATCAACAAATTCATCTCAATACGTTCTTTATACTAGCCCGGCCCCGGTTATGCCACTCAAGGTGATGCTTTGTGCACCTGCCCTTTATAGTGGTGGCAATTGCTAACCTCTTCATGCATTTAAAGAGAATATAGAGTACTAATTGTGTAGCCTCTCTATCAGGTTTGGTGCATTAATGGCATTATGAAGAATGTGGTTCGTAAAGAGGGTGTTGGTAAGTTCTAAAGTGGAGACTGCTATATAGTTTTATACGTTTCACTTTGAGAGGAGGCTTCGGGGGAAGTTAGGCCACGCAATAGTCTTGGGCCTCACATGTCAAGTGATCTCCAAAATCAAAGCTATTACTATTAGTATTATGTATAATTACTTAATAATTGGAAACTAGAATAGAACAATTATCTTCTATGCATCTAGCAGGCAGCGACGTGTCACGTGTAGATGTCTATATGAGGTAATAAGGATTTTAACTTTTTAGTACTACAAGTGTTTTAGTGTGATTACACTGAAATAATGTCTACTAAAGGAGTAAAGGTGTAAAGTTAAATATTTAATATGCTGAATCTATGACAAATAGGTATAATCTAAAAATTATTGGGTTAATATTGCTATACTGGTAAAACAAACTCGTATTGTATGTGTTAGATTATACGTCGTATGTTATAGGCATGAAATAATTAATGTGATGGTATTGGTATTACTAAATTATTTATTTTCTTTGATTTGTCATTTTTATTTATAGATTCTTGGTTTTTGTTAATTTATTGTTTATGATTTTTGTATTATATATTAGTACAAAAAGAAAGAATAAGTTGAGATAACTAGTGAAATTCTCTTTCATTAATTTTTCCTTTGGACGTTCACATTATATCTGCAATTTGAACATGCTTTTCTCATATGATTTTTTATGATTTGAATATGATAATTTTTTATCTGGGGCCTCCAAAGTCCTCAAGACGTCTCTGATCACTTTCGTAATAGGAAAAAATTATTACTTATGCTCAGTGGATTGGAAAGGATAGTGTTGAGGTATCTATCATTCCATTCCATTGTATTTAAAAAAGGATAGTATTGAACATAACATATGGAATTATTTTATATCATTAATTATGTAACTATGAGCTAATATTATAGAGTATTTTAAACAAAAAAGAGAGGACAGTTAGATTCACTTTATCACCTTTAAATCTAAAAATGAGACATAAGAAGAGCGCCAAAAGATGGCTTATAAGTTGGCTACCTTAATGTGCAATTCACTGGAAGGGAGAGTTGTGCCACTATTTCTATTTTCTTCTCTCATTTAATTAAGCCGCTGAGATAGTGAGATGTATTTGATATCTCTATATTGATTATTGATTATAAAGCTATTGTATAATTTCAAACATCTCAATTATACTAACAATATTTTCATGCTACGGAGTATTAAACTAACTACAATAGTCTTGGGCATCTTCCCCTCGCAACGCTCGTTACAAACAAAACTAGTACTTTCAATAATGAGGAATAAGATAGGGGAAATCGCAATTCCAGTCATTCGAATAGTACTCACATTAAAATATAATTCCCGTGTCTCCAAGTTTGTAAATGTCAACCCTCAATTATTTGAATCGTTGTAAATGTAGTCATATGACGGATGACATATATAATGTGGATGCTAAAGGATCAGTTGTGTACTATCGTTCCAATTCAGCAGTGTCATTTCAAATGTCCTCAAACGATCGCGTAGAGTGCAGAGATCAATTTCATCAAGGTCAAGACTTGTTTGCAAATCTTTTACAATTTTCCTCCACTCTGGATGCAGACTTGACATGAATCTAATATTCATCTCCATGTTTGATTTGAATATGTTGATCTTTCTGAGTTGGACGAGGATGACATTTACCATATTTTAGATCATTGAGATATGACATTTATACACTTACAAACACCATGATTATATTTCCATGTGCACATTAATTGAAGGCTTGAAAGTGCAGTTTCCCCAATAAAATATACACCCTCCGTCCCAAAATATTTTGCAAAGTCAACATTTTATGATCAACCAATAAAAAAAGTCAAAGCTCCATATCGATAATTAATTAAATTTTTAATAATTAAAATTTATATATTCAGAAACTACATTAAAATCTCTTCAAAATTGCAAAGTACTCCAAATTAGAATATAATTAAAATTGACATCCTAATTAAGCAAATAAAATAAAACTGTTTGACCAAGAAGTCAAATTTGCGAATCAATTTGGGATGGAGGTAGTATAGTTCAATTTGTGAATTTTATTAGTCAATGCAATCTTCAAAGTGATTTAGTAAAGTTAATTCAATCTTTATTGGCAGGTTGTTCTTTAACTTCCTTTCTAGTTAAGTAAAGCTGTAAGAGGAGTAAGCTTTAGGGAGTACTTTAGAAAACAAGGAAAACTGATCTTATACAGATTACAAGCACAATTAATGACAATGTCTTTCTTTGTTCCAATTCATTCCCAGCCTTTAGTCTGAATATGCTACAGCCGTTACCGCAAGAGCAAACCATCATGGCTGAGACGGATAGAATCAGTCAACTTCCGGCAGATATAGTTGACAACATTTTGGGATTCTTGCCTATTGAAGATGCTGCTAAAACGGTAGTTTTATCTACCAATTGGGGTGGTATATGGCCCAATCTTACACAGCTCTGCTTTGCGCCTCACTTCTTTCGGCGTTTGAAAAACAGATATAGCACAAAACATGCTGCTTTCTATGTAATCACCAAAATTCTCTTGCAACACCAGGGACCAACTATTCGAAAATTTGAGGTTGATTATTATGATTCTAAGACAGAGACGGTTAAATCTCGGTCGTATGACATCGATCAATGGCTGCTTTTAGTCACACGAAAAGGTGTTGAAGAAATTAAACTCCATCTTGGAAGCCAAGAGTATCGGCTGCCCGATTGCGTACTGTCATGCCGAACACTCAAGTCATTGGATCTTGATAGCCTGCTTGTTAGACCACTCAGATCAACTTACATGTTGCCGAATGTCGCTTCGCTTCGGTTTCGATCTATTAACTTAGATTTTTTTTCAGATCTTGTCCTTGATGTTCCCAGCCTGGAGAATCTGTCATGTGAAGAGTGCTATGAAATGTTTCATCTTCACATCATTGCCAAAAGTATTTGTAGCTTAAATATCCGATATTGCTCTGGTCGTGAATTGGACAGTTTCATTCCCGTTAACATGGACTTGAGATCCATTCGTACTCTTCATTTGGATTCTCACTCTCTACAGGTATTCTAACTATTCTTTTTCTTTGGGCATTTTTCTTAGGTCTCTTTTATAATTTCTTGGAACTAATCCAGCTTTGTTTCCATATGATTTCCAAGAATTTTGTTGACGATTGTTCTAGAACTGGACTTCCACTGCGATCACCTGCTCTAAATGTGGAAGACCTGAACCTATCAGATTTTTGTTTCAAAGAAGAAACTCAAGCTTCTCCTCTCATTCGTTTACTGCACATATGCCCGAACTTAATCAAACTTCATATAAGTCTTTGGGTAATTTTGAATTTTCTATCTTGGATAAGATATATTTTTGTAATGCTGAGGTGTTGATTATAAGTTCTTTTGCATTGCCTTTCTCTAGTGTCCAGTCACTTGGAGATGTGATAGTACCTATGATGATGAGAAAGATATTCCTAGTGTGGCTGAAGTTGACAGAAGACTTCCAGAGCTTCGTAGTGTGGCCCAAAGACACAAAAGACTTGTCACTTTGAAGCTTATATTATTTAAAGGATTTTGGTGTGAAATGCTCTTCATCAAGGAGTTACTTGCTGCTCTTCCCTCACTTCAAGAGGTTATCATTGGTCATTCCAATGATATGGACAGTAAGAGGAAGTGTGAAGTTATGGAACGAGTTTTGCATTTTCCTCGTGCATCTACCGAAGCAAATGTTACTTGCATCTAGTAGACTATCGGTCAAAGTAAACATGTCATTTATGTTATACCCTCTTAAATTTGGAATATGTGAAACAAATTAAAATGACAATCCTTAGTTTCAGCTTATCAATCAAGTTTTTTAAGCAAACACCAACTTTTGGTTTCGGCCCTAAATTGTGTATTAAGCATAATAAGTGAGGTTGTAATTATTTTCGACTGAATTGGCTATATCTAGATAATCATTTTTCATATATTTTTTCCTTAAATTATTAATCAAATTTATTTTAAATATAATTTTACATAATTCACCAAATTTAGCCAATTTACCAGTTTCAGCTTGCATTTCATCAATTTCAGCATATTCGATCGATTCAACCATTTTCAGTGTTACTAATCAGATTTTAAAACCTTAACCATATCTATTTAGGATTTTCGATTTTTAAAATCCACGTTTTGTTAGAGGAAAAGAAAACTTATATTAAAAATCGATCAAAGCAAGAGTTACAATCAGCTAATAACTCAAACTCCACCATCTAGACTCAATAGAAATCTGTTACAAGGCAGTGAGTTCGTCTATTGCATAGAGGAGGAAGACTCAATTTTTAGATGAAGCAACAGGGGGTTAGATTTGTTGGCAAGAAGGGTGAAAGCATGGCAGGGAACGGCACAATCAAGGAGCAAGGCGAGTTTGATATTTTAGACCAGATTTACGACCGTTTGGTCATAGAGGAAGAAAATAATCCGTTTTCAAGGATTTAGCTGATTTAAAATATTAAAAACCGAAAATCCTAATAACTCAAAAGAAAACCTTGAGGAGCCTTCCGCTTTTCTTTAGAGTTTAGATATACGCTTAGGAAGAGCTGTGTGAACCCTTTGTTCGGTACAAAAACGTAGATTCTGTTTGTCAAATTTTATTTAGAAGTTGTATAGCATTAGAAATCCATGTTATGTTCTTTTTGGTTTGTATTTGGCTTACTTATTTAATCATTTACTTGACAAAACCCTATAGGACTAGCCCTAAGCCCTCCAAGAGAATCCCCTACAACATCAACAAGTTTCTACTTCCTAATTCCTATAGATTTTATGTTTGAAATACTCAAATCCATATTATCCGATGAAAACATCTCTAATAATCTAATAAGATAAAGACACTAATACTTACGACCTAGTCGACTGATAGAGTATTAATCTAGAGAAAACTGAGAGCTAGAGAGAGAAAGTGAGCAATTAATATTTCTCAACCCCCTACAACTACCCCTTATGGGGAGTATTTATAGGGGAGGTGTGGGTTTGGGCTTCCAGGACTTGGGCCTGGGAGGCCCGATACAAAATAGGGCCTCTAATGGGCCGAGTACATGATTTATGAGACTAAGTCTAAAATCTAGTTATGCTCGAGTCTGGTTGGCTGAAGGAGGACCAGGCCGATGGAGGGCCTGGCTGATGGAGGACCAAGTTTCCGCTCCCGGGCTTCTGTATTGTATTCTGTGATGGTAGGTGATGGATAGTCTACCCGGGGGTATATATCCGAAGGATTATTGCTGGGAAAAACTTAGAGAGAAGTCAGAGCAAGTAAATGTAGAGAGAGAGAGTGTATTATAAATGTGGAGCGTTTTCAGCGTGGATACAAATGGGGAAATGGGGTGCTATTTATAGTAGCAATAAATGCCGGACAGGGACACGTGTCAAACGCCCATTGGCCGAGAGGTCACCTCAACTGGTTGGCGTTGGCAGCCGCATGTGGCCGCATTTAATGCGGCTGTTGGATGGGACGTATGTACAGGGTACGGTGATCTGTACGCATGTGAGGCGGATATCATGTCGGGGAAGGTGCTTTCGGCTATAGAGCAACAGCCGAGGGCTCCTCAAACCGATGGCACCCTGGTGCCGAGGGCTACTGTTTTTGCCGTTTTCTCCCAGTTCCTCTGTTTGTTTGAAATATCCATGGTGTGATAGTTTGGAGCCTTCGGTCAGGGGGCCGAAGGCACCCCTGGTGCGTATTGCGGGCCGCTTGGTACTCTGGGCGCCGTGATCCGGGCCTGTTGGGCCTTCTGGGCCTGTTGGGCCTCTACTGGAGTAGTAGGAGTCTGTGGGCCGGGTGTTCCCGGGCCATATACTCCATCAGGAGTCCCTCACTCCTTTTGCCGAAAGGTATTTGAGGGAAAAGGAGTAATTTGTGCTTGCCCTTTGATGTTGTCCTGTCGTGATCTCTGAAGTTGGTGAGGAGTTGTTGCTTTTATGTCCCTGCCGAAGGCAGTCCCTCAGTTACCCACATGTCGGGACTTGAGGGCTTGCTTTGTCGTTTGTTGGAATTTCACTAATTTTGTAATTTAATGATTTTCCCGAGGGGGTTCTCCAGTCCCCCACTCCTTGAGGCACTTGTAAAGTGGTGAAAAAGGAGTAGAGTGGTTGCGTTGCTGTTGTGGGCCGAAGGCTGACGCTTTTCGTTTCATTTTGGGGGGATGCCTCGTTAAAAACCTCATTAGGAAAAACCCTGGGGGAAAAAATCCTAATGAGGGAAAAAGAGTGCACCGAATTCCCCCAACGATGAATCGAAAATGTGAAACCTTGGTCAAAAATGGAGAATAACGGTAATGCCGAAGGCTCTTCTTTTTCTGAGGGCTCATGTGTTGATTAGCCGGAGGCTTGCTGTTGATGTCCTGGGGGTGCCGAAGGGGAGCCCCTCAATCTGGGGATCGAGGGCCTGATGGATGAGGGCAGAAGTGGAGTTGTTATTGGGGGGTCCACTGTTGGTTGATTAGTTGGTGATGAAGATACCCGAGGGCTCCCATTACCTGTGTGCCGTAGGCTATCCGTCAATGAGGCAACTCCCCGGGGGCTACCCGGTTTTACAGTGCTGAGGGGGAATTCCCGAGGGGTGCCCTGATATGAAGCCTTGGGTTTCTGAAGGAGTGATCCCGAAGGCGTCTGTTATGTGCTGTGTGGGGCACAACCCGGGGGCGCTTCTGGGTAAGTGTACCCGGAGGCTCTCCTTGATGAAGTGGAGTGAAGTAGAAAACCCGGGGGCTTCCAGAATATAGCCGTTGGAACATGTAACGTCAGGTTTATAGCCGTTGGGGGGGTACACGTGGAGTGTAGCCGTTGGCTGCTCGTGGGCGGGCGTCACCGGTTGGGTGAAACGACGGTGTGTAATGATGACGCTTGGCCGGAGGCCCAGTTTTTGGGCCCAAGCCCGGATCCTGGAGTCTATAAATACCCCAAGCCAATGCCATTCCTTCATTACGCATCCAACATCCTTAGCGAAGCTCTGCCAAAAATTCTAGAGAGAGAAACTCAAGCCTTCGGTCAAAACTCAGCTTTCAAGGTCAGTTCCCCCCTGCCTTTCTCCTTCTAGTTTAGCTGTGCCTTGTGCCCTTAGGTTAGGAGATAGAATTCTCTAGAAAACCTTAGTTCCCCCGAACCCTCGAGCTAGAGTTAGAATGTCGTCCCAGAGTGATTCTCAAGACATCTCGAGGACCCCCTCGGTTCAGGACGAAAGCATCTCCGACATGGAGTCCAGTAGTAGTCAGCCCTCGGGTGGTGGTGATGCAGCTCTCGCCACCGAGGTGCAGAAGGATCTGGTGGCCGAGGTCGAGGCGGAGGAGTTCGAGCGAACCGCCGAAGATGAGGAGTTAGCCCTCGCCGTCCAAGTTGCTGAGGAGGAAGAGGAAAAGGAGAGGGCGAAGGTTACTGTCGCTGTTCTTCCCCCCCCGGGGTTCTGGGGAAGCAAGTAGCTCGAGGCCACTGGACCCGACGCCGTTAAGTGTAGTCCCCGGGAAGAAGAGGAGGAAGACGAAGGCTGGCCCCCAGAAGAAAGTAAGGGCCGTCGACCAAGGGGGGCCAGTTGATCTGCCGGAGGGTCACTCCTTCCTGGACACCGCCGCTCTGGAGATTAAGTCCCAAGCTGACAAGGCGGACTTCTACATCACCCAGTTGCATGTAGGGCCCCCGGCCGTAGTAGTCGAGCCAGGTCCTGATGACGTGTTATCCCGGCCCCCCGAGGGATGCATAGCCGTGCACGTGCTCTCGGTTTCCATGGGCCTCCGGTTCCCTCTCCATCCGTTCCTCCGGGAGTACCTGAGGTACACTGGCCTGGTTCCCTGTCAATTGACCCCCAATAGCCACTCATACATAGCTGGATTCGTGAACCTGTGCAGACTCCGGGGGGTTACACCGAGCTTGGAGTTATTCTTCCAAAGTTTTAACCTATGCCGGGGGGGCCATACTAATGCCGAGGGCTATGCAAACTTACAGCAGATAGCCCAGTTCAAACTGTTCACCGAGGCCCCTTCTTCCAACAAAGGGTGGAGAGAGCGATGGTGCTATATCAGACTGACCGACAGCCCTTTCCCGAGGGAGTTGCGGAATCGCTTTCGGCGCCACGTGAAGGTCAAGAGTGCCGCCCTCGAGGAGGATGGCCTGAAGATTGCCGAGATTCCAGAGGGTCGGGAGAAGAACATAACCATCAAGGAGTGCATCCTCGAGGAAGACCTATATGCCCTCGGATTCCTGAGGTATCGGTTCATTGGGGAGACCGATGAGAAGTATCCCCTCTACGATAAAGCCTTCGTGGGAGCAGGAGGTAGTGGCCGGGGGCTTTAGATTTTTGTACTTAGAGATTTTTTTGTCATGTTTGTCGTCGTGTCTCTGACCCCTCGGTTCTAACATTTTAACTTGTTGTTGTCGTTCTTTGCAGGTAGCAAGATGAATGCCAACGCCCTGTTCGCAAAGAGGAAGGGCAAGACCCAGGCAAAGGAGAAGGGGCCCTCGGGTCAGAAGCCAGCCGACGCGTTTTTCCCGAAGGTCGTAGAGCCTTCCGCCGGGGACATCCATGCGGCTGTGGGGACCGGGGGGTCGAAGGCCGAGGCGGCCGTGAAGAAGAAGAGGAGTGATAAGGGGGTGGAGCCCCCTACCAAGAAGCAGAAAGCCGCCGGGGGCGCTGTCGAGGGGGCGGCCCCCCTGATAGTTATTGATGACATGCCAGCCGCTGATGGGCCTCTGGCCTCGGTCACCCCGAAGGCTCTGGTGAATCCATCCCCGGAGGAATTACCCCGGGAGATCCGTTAGCTCTCCTTTGCCCCCGTTGCTTCACTGATGCACGGTACTGCCGAGCCGAGGGCCTTCCTGCGGGGCATCACCTCGAAGATGGATAGGGAAGTCTTCGAGACATACGACGATGATGCCCTCGAGAACAGGATCCTCCGGTCCTCTCTCACTGTA